TTTGTCTATATTGTATATCTAGGCCTTTCGTATAGCAATAGATCTTGGAAAGCATTCTGTTTTAGGATACAACATTCCTTGTTTCTTTTTCTTCCTTAAACACTTTCAGTGGTTGGTATTGTGTTGTGCTACCGTAATCTTACACCTATCCAGTCTCCTGTGCGTGGGTATCTTTTGCATTTCCACTTCTTTACAGTCAGCATTGCTGAAATGGGTGACCGAGCACAGATGGGTATCTGTGGAATAAATTTCCAGAAGTGAAATTATTGGGGATAAGGGTGTATACATAGGTGATTTTGGTGGATGCTGCGTGTGCTTGTTGTTCTCTGTATGGTCACACTGATCTGCAGTCCCAGTGGCTATGGATCTGAGTTACCGTTTTCCAAATAGCATCAGCAGAGTGGTTTTTGAACATAGGATTTCTGCAATCATATAGGTCAGAAATGGGTGCCTTTCTGAATGCTCACTGACTCTGAGTTCCTTTTTATATGCTTGAGAGGTATTTTGCTTCCTTCTCTATGAACTTTTTTGTTTGCTTGGTTTTTGTTGTTGGTTTTGCTTTTGTTGTTTTTTATGTTGCCAGGAATCAAACTGAGAGCTTTGCATATGCTAGGCAAGCACTACTTTTACATCGGATGGTTGACTGATTGTTTCTCCCAGTTACTTCTCGGAGATTTTTATACATTTGTCTGTGATATGAACTGAGCCCTTGGAATTTGATATTTTTCTTTGGCTTTGTTGTATGCTTTACTGTGTACAATTTATTTGAATTTCTATGGAGTCAAGTTTATTAGTTATAGGATGACCTTCTGCACTCCGGTGTTTGTAAAGCACTTAACCTATATTTTTTCTAGTATTTCTATGTTTTCTTCCTTCTCTCTGTCTCTCAAGATGCATTGGATTCACATTTTGGCCAAATGTTGAATAATTGAATGTTAAAATCAAATGGGGGGGCGGGGAGATGGCTCAATAGGATAAGCGCTTGACTTGCAAACACAAGGATCTGAGTTCAATCCCCGGTTCCACCAAAAAAAAAAAAAAAAAAAAAAAATGGGGGGGGGTCTGGCAAGATAGTTCAGTGGTCTAAAGCGCCTGCTTAGACAAGCATGCAGGGACCTCAGTTCGATCCCCAGCACCACATGCTATGCCAGCCCTGCCCCCAGGGTGCGTTGAGCTGACCATAAGAAAAAAGAAAGAAAGAAAGAAAGAAAGAAAGAAAGAAAGAAAGAAAGAAAGAAAGAAAGAAAAGAAACATTAAAAAAAAATCAAATGAGGGGCAGGCCGTACCCATCTGCCCCTGAGCATACTGAGCCAGCCACTGAGACTGCGTGTGGTGGCACATGCCTGTAATCCCAGCATTGGGGGTGCTTAAAGTAGGAGGATGACAAGTCTGAACTCCAGAGTAAGACCCTGTACCAAATATATTACAAAAAAAAAAAAAAATGAGGTAGAGGCTCAGATTACCATCGTGGGATGAACAAATTTCTAGAACAGCAAAATTTTTATTTATTCATTTATTTAGGCCAGCTCAGCCTGCTCTGAGAGTGGGGCTGGCATGGCATATGGTACCAGGGATCAAACCGCGGTTCCGTGCACGTGTCTAAGCAGGCGCTTTAGACCACTGAACTATCGCACCAGCCCCCCAACATTTTATTTTTAAAAAAACTTTAATAGGGCCGGGGAGATGGCTCAATAGAATAAGTGCTTCTCTGGCAAGTGCAAGGGACTGAGTTCAATCCCTGGTTCCGCAAAAAAACAAAAAACAAAAAACAAAAAACAAAAAAAAAAAAAACAACCTTTAATGGAATATTAGGGTCATATTATAAAACTTTAGTAGTTCTAGTTGGTAAATTAGGCAATCTGTTACAAGAGCAGCGATTTCTTAGTAGCATCAGTTGTTTGGTTGCTTTTATTTGTTATTTTATTTTATTTTTTGGTTGAACCGGGGGTTGAACTCAGGCCCTTGCACTCGCCAAAGAAGCACTTATTCCACTGAGCCATCTCCCCAGCCCCCAAATTTTTTTTTCTTTTTTGTGGTAGCGGGGATTGAACTGAGGACCCTGTGCTTGCCAGGCAAGCACTTATTCTACTGAGCTGTCTCCCTGGCCCTTTGGTTGCTTTTATTGTCCTTTCATGGTATACCTATAAAAGTATTCCACTCACTTTTCATTGAGGAGAGTGGGCCTTGGGTGAGGACGACGTGGAAAGACTCAGGACTGGATTGGAAATAACTAAAAATTAAGGATATTCTTTCAAGGTTATTTTGTTTCATATAGGGCTAAAGTAACATAAAGTTCTAGAGATTACAGTGACTTAATCTAATTCTATTTCCATGTGTTTTAATCTAACAAATGTGTCTCTAAATGTTCATATTTACTAAACTGTTTCCTATTGAACCATTTTAAGTTCTCAGTAACTAAATGAGATTATTAGCTTTCACAGTGATTGTTTCAGAATTTTACTCCTATGGTAAGAAATATGCTTTTTATACATCAGTTGACATAAAATTTCAACATACAAAGAATGATTATATAGAAATAATATGTAATATGTAAATATAGCATATAAATGCATGAACATATAAAAATTATTTTTACTCAGGTTACACAAGGATGGTGACTTTTATTTGACAGCAGATTTTCAGTTGGTAGTATATGCCCTAGTGACACGCCATGCCCATCTTATGATGCTATTATGCTGGTCATGTACAGTTGCAAGATAGCAATCCACACTGGATCAGAAATGGCAGAGGTGCTACTGGCATTGTTCTTCAGTTCTCTGGTATTCCAGAAAGCAAATTGTACATTTTGAGCAAACATCAGTTTTGTTTAAATTTCTCATCCCTTTGAGGGTTTGAATCTATGTGACTGCCCAGTGGTCCCCAGACCAACACTTGGGTCTTCCGTCTTTCACCATGAGTTCAATTCATGCATGTCTTTGCATTTGCTGGTGGACCTTTGGCTCCAGGATTCGAATATGTTGTAACTGGTGCCACACCTTGGAGGACTGCTGAGTCTCTGGGCTGTGTGTGCCTTGTACCTGCTAGAACTAGTTTCCTGAAGTCTTTTCCAGAGTGCTCAGGGCCGTTCTTGTTTCATTATGACATGATTTTCAAATCAGTCCTCCTCTCTTCCTTCCCCCAGTAAAAATCAATTAGTACTTTTGTCAAGATGGTGAGAAATCTTTCATTAACTTAGAACTGAATTCTTCAGACAGTGCATCTTGTGCTTCACACACAACAGCATGTGTGCATGTCTGTAAGCGTCTTGTGTCCCTTGCACGTTCATTGTTACATGAATTCTTACATGTTTTGTCTTTTTATTTTTATTTGGAATTCAAACCTCAGAGTCATTTTAACTGATTCTGATATTAGACTGGTATTAACCATTTATTGTTTTTAATCTGGTACTTTTGGTAACTTTAAACCATGTATTTGTTCTAAAGACATTTGAGGTAGGTAATAACCTTATTCAATCTATTTTTTTTTTCTTTTTTCTTTCTTTCTTTCTTTTTTTTTTTTTTTTTGGAACCGGGGATTGAATTCAGGTCCTTGCGCTTGCCAGGGAAGCACTTATTCCACTGAGCCATCTCTCCAGCCCCCTATTTTTTTTTTTTTTTTATTGAGGAAAAAAGTATATATTTAGAATTAGCCAGCTGGACTCAGTTCAGATGATTCCATTCTGATTAGGGTATTGACCTTGGCCACATCGATGTCAAAGAGCTTCTTCACAGCGTGTTTGATTTGGTGCTTATTGGCTTTGACATCCCCAATGAACACAAGTGTGTTGCTGTCCTCGATCTTCTTCATGGCTGACTATGTGGTCAGGGGGAACTTGATGATGGCATAGAGATCAAGCTTGTTTCCCCTTGGGGTGCTCTTCCGAGGGTATTTGGGCTGCCTCCAGAGCCGCAGCGTCTTGGGATAGCAGAAGGTGGGTGACGTTCGTATCTTCTTTTTGTGACCATGGATGCCTTTCAGCATGGCCTTCTTGGCCTTCAAAGCTTTTGCTTTGGCTTCAGCTTTGGGAGGGGCATGGGCTTCCTTCTTCGCATTTGGCGCCATCTTGGTAAAAAGGCTCTCCCACCTTATTCAATCTAAATGTGGTAAGATATGTTGAATAAATGAATGAATCAAACCTTACCTTGTAACTAAATGAACAAAGACACCCACTTAGTCTGTGTATAGAAACTGGGTGTTAATTCCTAGTTTCTAGCCCAAATATATTCTTCTACCCAACATGAAATAAAGTTATAAAGCAGGGTGTTATTGGCCGTCTAGGGGCAAACATAGGGTCAATAATAAAATTTCTGGTCTTTACTGAGCACTTATATATGAAATATCTGCTGTATGCTACCTCCCAACCCTAGTATGGAGGAACTTTTACTACCTGTGATTTACGTATGAGTAAACTGAGGCACAGAGAACATAGCTAGCCCAAAGCTAAACAGATTGCTCCACCACAGCACATCTTAGTGCCTTTACAACACTGTTCTAATGAAATGTCTGCACTGTTCATAAGAATTGGTTATTGGCAGGGCAGCTGGACTGGGGCTAGACATTTGGAACTTGTTAAACTTTAACTGAGAGGTGAAAGCTGATCTCTTCTTTTTAAGTGCATGTTACTAGGTTGCATATGCACTTTATTAGACTGCTCTGAATCCTGGCTTGCACCATGAGCTTCCAAGAGAAGACGAAGCATGCTGTACTCAGCGTCTGGCTAAGTTTCGTGGTACTGATCAGACCTTGGCTGAGCACAGAATGCTGTGTGGGTATTGCCGTACTGACCACCAGCACAGCCTGCGTTCTCACATTCCCAGGCTGTAGCTAATGAGCCTGACTGAGCCTCTGAAGATTAAAGGACTTGTCACTGCCTGTGGCGTCTAGGAAGACCCGTGCTGGGACTTGTGCCCAGGTGTATCTGACCCTCATGTCCTCCAGGTCTGTAGGTACCAGATAAATGTTGCCATTTCCTGCTTAACCTTGCTATTCTCTTTCTCAGAGCCACGATCATGTCTCTGGAAGACTTTGAACAGCGCTTGAATCAAGCCATTGAAAGAAATGCCTTTCTGGAAAGTGAACTTGATGAGAAGGAAAACCTCCTGGAGTCTGTTCAGCGACTAAAGGATGAAGCCAGAGGTCAGCGATCTTGGCCTTGTTCTGTGTCTTTACCAGTGTGGTTTCCTCTCATCTGTGATACTGGCACTGCAACCTTGCTTATCACGGCCTCTTCTGGAAATCGTGCACCCCGCCCTGCACATAGGTTATCCAGGCAGAGTGCCTGGCACGCTTCCTTGGTACCTGCCCAGTGCTCAGAATGCTCAGCCCTCAAACCCTGTAAAGATCCCTCATAGACATGTACGGAAATAGCTTTGAAGTTCATAGATCAAGCCGTTATTTGGGGTTTTAGCTCTGGGCAGTGGGAAAGCCTTCTTGGTTTGAAACTGACACACAGGCTTGATGCTCTATGGTATAAGTTTTGTGAGAAGAAAAATCCTGCTAGTAGAACCGCTCATCAGTCTGTTCTTTTTGTGACTTGGTGGTGACTGGTATGTTGGACTTAGAATTCTGACACCTCTTCAGCATTTGGTCAGGGGAGGTTGGCAGCTCCAGAGGCTAACCTCCTGCCTAGCAAGTATGAGGTCCTGACTTTGATTCTAGTACAAAAAACCAAAAAACCCACATAATTTATTTTGTGATATGTTAAATAGCTGTTAAAAGGAACAAGGTAAAGATACAAATGTTGTCCTGGGATTAATTGCCCACCTATACCATTGAAAGAGAGAAAGTCATGCACAGGAAGCATTGATGTTCACATTTATGATTAATAAGAATTGCTTGTACTCTATATTCGGTAGATACTCAAACACATTTAGACTATATGGATATGCAGTGATAAAGGATTGAAAAGATTTGCCATGTGTTATAAGTAGCTATTTATGATTGAGGAAGGCATTTGGGAATAGCTGGAAAAGCGCATTTTAATGTAGGATTCTAGGTACACTGCATTATTAAAAGATTTTTTAAAAACAGAGCAGTTGGTTGTGGGTGCCATGCTTTTTAAAACCTTTCACCTGAGAAATAGCTGTATCTTGCAGACCTGCCAAGTGGGGCCAGGTAGGCTTTGCTCTGTTCTGGGTTCCACCTGGACTTTCTCACCCACTGCCCTTTCCCTGGTTAGCACCTGTCTGACCTTCACCCCAGCCTGAAAGCAATGACGCACATCTCTGAGTCTCTTTCCTGGCACAGATTTGCGGCAAGAATTGGCTGTACAACAGAAGCAGGAGAAGCCCAGGACCCCCATGCCCAGCGCAGCAGAAGCTGAAAGGACAGACACAGCTGTGCAGGCCACAGGTTCTGTACCGTCCACTCCTATCACTCATCGAGGACTCAGCTCTGGATTAAACACTCCGGGAACATTCAGGCGTGGTAAGGAGATGGGGAGCTGTGAGAATTTTCTGCTTCACAGAGCCATCCTGGGTGAGAACCTGGTTGGGACCTGGGAGAGGTGCCTTGGACTGGGCTGTATAGTGGGGAGCAGTTAGGGTGCTGTGATCCAAGATGTGGAGGAGGGAATAATGGTCTCTGCCTACTGGAAAACAGAAATCCCATCTAAGAGGGCAGCTGTTGCTTTGCTTTTGCCACAAGGAAGGTGGGCCTATCAGGCCAGGCTTTCTACCAAAAGCCAAAAATCCTCTTTTTAAACGTGAAATCTGGGGCTGGGGAGATAGCTCAGTAGAATAAGCGCTTGCCTGGCAAGTGCAAGGGCCTGAGTTCAATCCCTGGTTCTGCAAAAAAAAACCCAAAACAAACAAAAAACCATGAAATCTCCCAAACATAAAGTATCTATAAACAAACAAAATGAATGTATGAAGTATTGTGGGTCCAGAAATAGAGGCAGTGTAACCTCTGTTATACTGTAAAAGCCAAAACATTTGAGTTCTCCCTCCAGCCTCTCCACTGATTTCTTAACTGGGAGACCTCTTGTCAGGCCATTGATAACAGATTCTAACAGCAAACAAGTATCGCATACTCCTGTGCGTACTCAAGGCTGCTTAAAGCACTTTGCGCAGTGATCTCGTGAATTCGCACCCAGGCCCATCGTGGAGGCGTTCATTCCACTTGGATGTGCAGGTGAGGCTGTGGCCTCAGAAGCTTGCCCAAGTCACGCAGAGTTGGGATTCAAACCCCAGCAGGCGGCCTGCGACTCAGTCAGCCATGCGCTGCCTAAGCCCGGACCTTGTCTCCTGCTGGTGACAAAATGGTGAGAATGCTGTGTCTGGGCCAGGACTATTTCCTGCACTTGGGAGGCGCATAACTGTTGTGGCGATGAGCTAGAATTTTGTTAATTTGCACCCTAGTAGCCGCTGCGGGTGGGGCCTGTGGTTGTATTCTTATTGCTGCCCAGACTCCTCCTTGAAGAGAGGGCTCTACAGCACAGGCCCTTTTTAAGAGCGGTTGGCTGCGTGCATACTGCGATTATCCCAGATGTCAGTAATGTTAAGTGGGTGGAACTTCTAGAAATTTGGAGAAGACCTGTTTTGGCATTTGTTTTCTTTATTTTGTACTACTAGGAATTGAACCTGGAGTCTTCACATTGAGCTACGTCCATAGCCCTTTTTTTATTTTTTATTTTGAGACAGGGTCTTGCCCAGCTGCCTAGGCCAGGCTCAATCTTGCCATCCTCTTGACTCAGATCCCAGAGTGCTGGGACTACAGCCATGCTCAATCTCACCCAGCTTTAGCTTTGAGAAGATTAATGCGTGAAACTAAATGCTTAATGTAATTTCATAAGGACTCAAAAAGCTGTTCACCCAGTAGAGCCATGCCGCGTTGCACAGTGAGGTCCTGAATGACGGGGCAGCATCCAGAGGAAAGCAAAGGGGGCAGCTCCCCTTCTCTCCCTCATGGTTCCAAATCCAGAGACGTTGGTACACAGACCATAGGCTGATGTGTGCGTCTGTGC